AGAAAAAAAATTGACGAGTTAAAGAAACAGGTGAATATAACATGCATTCAACATACATTCATACCAGATGGCTAGTGATGCAATGCTAAAGTATTATGCATATTAATTTAATAGAGTTTTGGATGTGTACAATTGTGTATTTCAGAATTTGATGCAATTTGAGTACTAATTTTTATCGAAAGAAATTATCTATATATACGAATTTTAGGTGAGCGATTTAACAGCGACAAACGAATTTCTGCTTGATCAAAATGCTCAACTTAGGATGTCTGGCAAGCGGACTGCTAACGTGACAGCCGTAACAGTACCAGCTGTAACAATAACAAATACAGTCCCCCCATCTCAAGCACCAACACCTCAGCAAATGGTGAATGCAGCAGTTGCAGCGGGAACTCTGAGAACAGTGACAGCGAGTGTTGCCACTGTTCCCGTCAGCATTGCAACAGTAACTCCAGTTTCAATTGCTGCTGTATCAATGGCTCCTGTATCAATACCACCACCAATTGTTACAATGGCTCAGCAGACGATAACAATGAGTGGATCTGGACCACAGCCTGCCAATCAACAGCAACCCAACTCCCAACAATCTGCAAGCTTACCACTATCAATATCTGGTGCTACAGCACCCCTCGTTTCTTACCCCATCATGACTCAAGAGCTCAGGCCTGTGTTACAATGAAATTAAATAACAAGCGTATTCACAAGGTGAATTCAAATCTATTACATATTTTCATTACAAAAAGGGACACAACTGTTAATGAGACATCTCAAATACTATTTTTTATACAAGTTCTGAAATGATCTTGTGTCGCGGTGAGTGTGCACCCTATCTCCAAGACATTGCAATACTATACTCATAGAAGGGTGGGGTAATATGGATACAGTTTTCAAATAATTTTTTAAATTGCACAGGATATTGCCGAAATTTCATTTCGTTGATATTAGAATGTATATTAAGCACTATCGCTAACATGAGACAGTGTCTAGATAGTCTTAGGGGGAGGAAAAAACTCTCCAATGGACATCTTAATTCCCCTCGATTTGGATATATTCGTGGAAAATTCATTTTCAAATTCAGTTCAGCAGTTGAGTGGTAAATGGGAAGTTCCGCTATGTAAGAAGTTACAGATAAAATTTCCATTTTACACCACCCTTCCTGCAGTTTCATAGTGTCTGTATGAAGGCATGAGTACATTTGTCTCAAAAAACAGTTCATACAAATGTATCATATAGATTTTTCTACAAACCTACTCTATACATAGCTATATGTATTGAGAAAAACGGTAATTTCCAAAAATACCTCTGCCTTTTTATGAGTGAATTAAAGAATATGTTCTAAAGCTATAATAGTATATTCATATACAATCACGGAAAAGTGGTTTTGGGACTCACAAGTTAACATTATTATTTCCTCAATCTTCCACTGGAAGGAGACCTATCAGGCAACTTATCTGCGGTTAGATTAA